ACGAAAATGACGTTTTCGGCTGGTGACGAAAGTTGTATATTTTTTGATGGTTATAGAAACAGAAATTTTGTTGATGATTTAAAATGAACCTTTTTGGGCGTGGCCGAGGTAACCGAGGCGCACCTGCAGTGGTCGTCACCCTATCCCAAACGAATATGCCACTAGGGCAGAACCTCCAAATTTTTGGGCCACGAGCCGCCACTGAATGAGCCCAAATTGAATGAGTTTAGATAAGAGGTATGGAAGATACAGCAATTTTTAAAATTATTTTTCCACCAGCTTCTCCCACCCTTATTAGTGAAGATACGAAAAAAGCGAGGAAAAAAGCCTAGTCACCAAATTGGCGCAAAAATTAAAGAACTTTTGATTTCTGTTGGTAAAACAGTATCTCAATATAGCGATTTCTTGAGAAAATTTGAATTAAAGAGCAAAAAAATATCTACATTTTGGAACAAACCGCAATTCAATATCTGCATTCGTTTTCAAGCTACGTAAGGTCCATGGTTTCCATAATATCGTACCTTGCCGACCTTAGTGGGGCACCCTGTATATGTGTTACAATCCATCTTTGCTATATGGGCTTTGTTATTATTGGTTTGGGTTAGTTCTAGCCAGTAAGTACTTGGTTTAAGATTTTTGCGTGGGTTGGATTTTTATGAGGTCGCTCTCATTTCAAATTCGTATAGGTTCTTCGTTTCCATTCTTTTTAATATATTATCCGAGGGGTAGGTCACTGAATAGAATTTGTACACCTAATTACAAATACATTCAATTACATGTATTTTTTTGTAATTGAAGGTATATGTAATTGAACGTAATTGAGAATGTAATTGAATGTATAAAATTAAATGTATTTGAACGTAATTGAATGTAATTGATGTAATTAGGTGTAGGAGTGTAATTGAATGTAATTGAGTATAATTGAATATAATTAAATGTAATTAACTTTTATTGGAAATAAAGATGGATGATGGAGAGGGCGTGCATTTATATCTAATTGACAGTAAGTGGTTGTAATTGAAAGTATTTGAATGTAATTTAATGTAATTGAACGTAATTGAATATAATTGAATGTAATTGATTAATGTATTTGTGCGGTATTTGAACGTAATTGAAGGTAATTGAATTGTAATTGAATGTAATTGTGTGTAATTATTTGTAATTGAGTGTAATTATTTGTAATGGAGTGTAATTATTTGTAATGGAGTGTAATTAATTGTAATTGAACGTAATTGCAAGGTAATTGAGGTAATTAAATGTATTTTTTCAATTACATTTCAACATTTGTACACCTAATTGGGGAGTGACCTACCCCTCGGGTTCACATATTTTACGTCACTTACAAATTAATGTCAACATAGGTTATGGCCGGGACCGCACTGGGGTCAATGTTTGTGCCAGTGTGGTCCGAGCCTTAGCCTATGTTGACATTTGTTAGTGACGTGAAATATGTCGACATGACAATATTTTGACTGATAAACACCAGTTTTTTGTATACTCTCCACACAAAAAGTTGCAAAAAAGTTAATCCTTCAACGCTGATATCTCATAGACCATAATACCTACAAGATTTCGTACCATTTAAAGGTTGTTAGGAATTAAATTCTCTACAACATATCAAAAAATGGACAAAATCCATAGAGCCCAAAAATCCCATGTTAGGTGTGCGTTATCCTTTATATTTCTATAACCGTTAAAGTTAGCACCTTAATTTTTTTTTCTAAAACTTCGTCAATGTTTTTACTACATTTAATTCGATATATATGTATAGAAATTTTCAATAATACACATTGCTCGCCGCAGGGTGAAGTTTAAGATGCACGATTTTGATAATTCTATATTCCTAACTTTTTAGAAAAAAACCTTGAGCCTTTTCGAAATTTCTGAAATGTTATTAGGAGCGCTCATGTTTCAAGTATAAGTGTGCAAAAAATCAGAATTTTAGATTGTATGCTTAAATCAATACAGCGGGTAATGTTTAGAAAAACATAGTTTTTCAAATTCGAGCTCAGTCACGTTTAAGGGCCGATTTCAAAGTTCAGTCCTATTAAAAAAAGTTGTACATTCCCATTTCCTATGCCCCAAAGTGTCCTCTACAAGATGGAATCACCCACCCTCAGAAAACAGCGAGTTAGAGCAGTGATTTCATTCCACTAATAATAATATATGATTCTGCTAGCGCTAAATAAACATCTACATGCCATTTTGTGAAAAAACATCGATCGGTGCAGGTCTGTGTTGCTATATATCAAAATATAGTATGATTCTGCTTGTGGTCAATAAATACTTACGAGTCAACAAGACAACATCAATCGATGCAGGTCTGGGTCGTTGTTCGTTGTTTTATATAGGTATGACAAAATAGAGGTATTTGTTTGATCTGCACAAACTGATCCGAGTCAGTTTAGGTTTGTTCAGGACATATTATTGTCATCGGTTTTACAAATATTTGATTTGCCCTGATTGTTTTTTTGAAGCCGCATAAAAAAATCTAGTAATGTTTGCAATCAGTTTGTGCAGTTTATTCTCGAATTTATCCAGATCAAAAGAATACCTGGAATATATTCCAGGTATTGCAGCAAAATCATATTGCGGTAAATAAATATTTACCATATTTATTTCAGGTGAAACATTTTGGTGCTTGGATGTCAGGCTGGTATGATCGATGATCGCATTTTCTCGAAAACGGCAAGAGTAAAGCAATTAAAAATAACTATGGTAAATAATTAGCAATATAATAGCAACAAATTCCCAACATTTTTTTTTTTATTCTGGGAAATTGATTTTTTTTTCTGCTAGAGTCGCATTTCTCCGAAATCAGCAAGAGTAAAAAAATCAAAAATATGGTAAATATTTTTGATTGGTTCTAAAATCCCATATATTTATATTGGAAACGCGGCCATCTTGTTGCCACCTATTGCTTATTTCAAATATGAATATATGGGATTTGGGTGAACATCCATCATAAAACATGGAAAACAACTTATTTGATGGATAATAATAGTCATCAAATACATCGATTTCAATTTTTTATGATAGATGTCCTTTTAACTCCTATAAATAAATATTTAAAAGTAACACTCCATGTTGTATTTGTGGGTTTGGCTAATTAAATTGTAAGCTAGCTATAAATTATAAGTATAAGCTATTCATAGGGTGCTAGTCAAAATATATTCTTTAAGATACTTACCTGTAAGAGATTTTAAGGCCAATACTTTAAATAATAGACTGATGTTATAAAACTATTTTATTTAAAAAAAAAAAAGGAAATTGTGATATATTTGTGAGTCTAATGTTAAACAGACTATACATGTTAGCTGATGTTGTAAGGTTGAACAGACTATATAAACCATATTGTTTAAAATGCTTTGCGCATGTCATGAACTTTATACGAACATCATTGGTCGGTTGAATAAAGAGATTCTCTTCTGGTCTGACTGGTACCGAGGTAACAATGTTTTATTTCACTGATCCCTTTCCCAAAATAAAATAAATTAATTAATTAAAAGTGAACTTTCAAATCGTAACTAAGTTAATTAGCCAAACCCACAAATACAACATGGTGTCAGAAGTGGCCAAGCCTGCAAACAGAACATTTTTTGTTCTCAGCAGGATAGGGTATACCGATTATAACGAACGTAGGTAACATAGGTAGGATTATATATATATTGGATTAATATATAGGATTAATTATGTGATATAAAAAGTACAAACAAACAATTATTGGTATATTTGAAGATAGGAAGAAATTTATTGTACAAAGAAATTACATCTGAAATGTTGAAATTGTTATTTGTTAAATTGTATTAAAACCTAAAATATTAAATGAAAGTACAAACCTCAAAATAAAATATTTTAAATGAATTAAGTTTAATGGGGTGCACACACAGTATTATAAATACCATTGTGCATCTAATAATGTTAGCAGTATTAGGAAATTGTATTAAGATTGATATAACTATGTGTAGGTATTGCATTAAATTGTTAAGTAAATTAAATTTGAATATTTTTATCTCAAGTACATAATATGTCTACGATTTGTATATCATAGAATTATAATTATATTGTAACTATTGCTATTGCTAATAAATAAATTTGTGTGAATATATTAATTACCTTCTGTTACCAAAGGTTAATGCAAATATGAAACTTTTACCAATTAATCATAGTAACATTATGCTTCCGTTCAAATTATCACTCGCATCAGTCAGTAATAATTTCGTATTCATTTTTTAAGATTTATAAATATACGAAACTTCAAGCGCTAAAAAAAAAAAAAAAAAAAAAAAAAAAAAAAAAAAAAAAAAAAAAAAAAAAATAGGTACTCTAATGTTTTATGTTTACTCTGCTTTGTATTAAGGTTTGTACTGTATTTTGGCATAAATAAATGAATTGAATTGAATTGAACAAGAGTTTGGGAACAAAATGGCGGCGGGACCTCTATTGTCGCCACTGTATGTAAAGGTTTATTAAGCCACTGCAAGGCAGTTATTGACATGGTTGTCAAATATTGGTACACAGGGTGTCAATTATAGGAATTTCAATTATTACTGATATTACATCAAAAAAAAAATACTACAAAGAGCAGATGAATGAAGCTCTAGCAGCTGCGGCTTATTATAACTCATTTCATATACCTACTCACAAGCCTACTCATGTAGTGAGAAGAAAAAAAATGTTTTTTTGTCAATAACTCGTGTGTCAATAACTAGTACTGGCATATGCTGTCAATTAATAGGGTGTCAATAATTGGATAATAGGTGTAAATTAACTGGTCCTCAAAGATACATTCAAATTCTAATAAAAGTCTATTCGTGTCAATTATTATTGGTGCATTTACTTTAGTGCTGTATGATTACACATTGTATTTATTTTAAATTTCTCAAACTCGAAAATGTTACCTAGTTTCGGAAAAACCGAGGAAAAACGTTCTAAGACTTGGACATTTTTTGGATTGAAATCATTCAAATAGGTAGGTATATAAGGAAGTGTGTACTTACAAGTAAATGTTTCTTTAACGTTAATCTCCTTGCCGTGGTTATAAAAAATAATTGTTAACTGTAATATTTGTTGGGGGGCCGCCTCCAGAAAGCATTCCAAAACTCTTAACAAAGCAACATCAGAGTCTTCTTTGACCATCAGGTCGTAGTATTTCCTTTGGTTCTCTTGATCACCTCTTTTCTCAGCCTTTTTTGATTTTATTGCATAATGTAGTGCATCAAAATATCTCAAAACTGGCGCTAATTGAAAGAGGAGCACCAACACACACAGGAAACGCCTTTTAGTAAATTTTTTGGTCAAAGTTTTTCGAGAATCCTGGTCTAGAACATACATTCTAAGGCTGAAGCCTGTGTTAATTATGGCAGGGATTAATATGAAGGCCACAGTGGTGAAAAAATAACCCAAATTTGAGTTTAAATAGTATCTAAAAGCCAAATTGCAATCGAAAATCACATCAGCCAAGTGACTGATGATGGATATAATAAAGCCTGCTATGTCCCAATTGGTGACTCGGTCTTTTGATGGTAAACGATCCACTTCGTCGTGATTGTTTGGCATTTTCTTCTGATGCAAAACGGTCATTTGGGGCTGATGATCTTTGCCTTGTTTTGGACATTGGGAATGGAGCTCCAAATTTTAAAATCAAATTTCATAAGTGTTGTGGCATATTTTTGAGATTATGTTGTACCAAGAAAAGACGATTTTTAAATAGTTTAAGTGGATTCTACAGTAGAAAAGATAAATAATTGGTAAATAAAATAACTGTTGCAACACTAAAAGTGACCAAAATATAAAATTATAAAACAAAGAAAAATGAAATTAGTGAATTTATAACACAACCACAACCTCATACATTTCTTCTTCTCCGATCCTTGTCAAGATGATGACAGTGATGACACTTGACTTCTCTTGACAGCTTTGTTCCAACAAAAGCCGCTTTCCAGCTGACACTAGGGGCGAGTTCAGGAATGACACACCCAGTGTGAGTGTGACACCGGTGCGACGCCCTAGCTGTTCAAAAATGCTAGACGGTGCTATGGGCCCAATGGCCAATTGCACAGCCTCCTACATTTAACAAGCCATGAAGTTAAAAAGGCAACACCGCAATCTTACCGCCGTGGTGCTGGTGGTGTTTGTTTTTATAAATATATATTTTTTATTTTAATAATTTGAATCACGAAAAATGCATAATTTATTGTACTAAAGGGCCAAAAACAGTAATTCAATGAATAATATAACTATTTGTGTAAATAAGAACAGTAAATAATTGATTTAAATGAATATATTTCTAGAGTCTAAAGTGTTATAGGCCTATGTTTCAGTATGTCTTTTGAAAAATCTAACTTTTTCTTGCTTCGGGATTTTTTCGGAAGGCAGGTCCATTCAAATACTTGAGCTGATTTTCGAAAATAAGAGGTACCTACTTTTAAGAGTTGGACGTTTCAGTTTGAACTCTCGAACTACGCCTTTATCCTTGTTTGTTTCAAATCTAATTATTTCGGTTTCTTCAAAATGTTTACAACACACCACAGAATTTTTCGTTATTGTATAATCTCGGGTATAATGATCTTGGTGTATTGCTTTCATCCACATTTTTTGCAATTCAGAATTTTTTTGGAAATGAAAATGTTTGCATTTCTTCAGTTTTTAAGGAACTCCTAATAGTTCGATTTGCACCCAGGAACACAGTAGTTTCATGGCATCTGGAACAAGTTTAAATATCTTAGGTAATATAGGTATCGAGACATATGCTCTTGCAGACAAATATTAATATTGTTTTTATTGTTTTATCTCACCTTACCTTCATTTTTGCTCCTGTACCCATTTGCTAAAAAATTGCAATCAAAGCACAAAGGAACAGGTATCAACTAAATATGGGCAATATATTGGTGTGTTTCTATCCACTTTTTCGTCAATAATGCCCACAAAAATACTAAACTGCAACAATACACAATGAAAGCAATACACAGAAACACATAACCCAATAACAAAATAGCACCATACGCGACGTTGCCGTCATTTCCAACTTCATGGCTTGTTAAGTATAGGAGGCAGTGCCAATTGTCAATTCAGGCACACCAATAAAATCGCACTCGCAACCTGTGCGTTATTTCTGAACTCGGCCTAGTTGTATTCCTTTCACACCTAGGAGTAGCTCCGGAACAGCTCCGGGCCTTCACGCGCTTATTCCTTCCGAAAAGTGTTTGTAGTACCACGCATTTGTTCCCCAAGGATGATACACACTACTACAGGATGGCTCATCCTCATAAGGCCCGTGTGTAACAAATCCCCCCCTACCTCCCCATGCCAAAAAACCAGTTGTGACGTTGGCATCATGGCGTTTCTCGCCTTGACGTAGGCTGTTTGCACCACAGGTTATGATCTGCCTCGAAATTACTAGTTTCTGGTATATTATTAGTCTAAATTATATCAGATACATTCAATCATGACCTTTAATCACTACTGTTGTGTTCTTCAGTGCAAGTTTTGGGCTAAAAAAAAAAGCTGACAAAGGGTTAAGTTTCTACATATTCCCCCTTGAAACAGGCCCGGTTTATTTGGAATCGAATATGGAAAAAGAGTTAGTGTCGAGAAGAAAAGCTTGGATTTTAAAACTTCTTATTGGTAAACCAGTCACCAAATTCATGAAAGTGTATCCTCTGCCTTTTTGGTTAAGGTAAACAAGCATAATGGATAGTTTTCTGCTTCCTTTTAGGCCTGCTTCCAGGCATTGATCAAGTACCAATCTATTTTTAAAATGTTTTGTTTGAAAATATTGACTGTTTTTATTATTTACAGGTGAGAGTACAGGTAGAGGTCGGATATTGAAAAAAAAAGTTGTATCATCCGAGAATTTGCCCTCTTCTATAGTGATCCATAAACCCAGCCAAAAAAATAGATTCCATGGGTGCTGAAAAACTTGCCAAAAGAAAAAGAAATCAAGATTCTAGTGAGACCGATACAAGTAATGAATGTAGTTATACTTGTAATCAATTATTAAACTCTTCTGAGACAGACATAGAAATGGCCGAGCAATCAGCAAAACGTGTAAAGTTTTTATTAAATTAAATAAAACAACCAGTATTTAATTATAGGTAGTTCGATTCAGATATAGGTAAAAATTGAATTACCTATTTATAAATAAAAATAAAGAGTTTTATGAAATATTTATTTATTTATTGCACACCCTAATAACACCGATCTCCCAGAAACATCCTATTTATGTACCATTAAGGTCCTTATGTTTCCGACATAAATGGTACATCGCTGCGATGTTTGTAATGTAACATCTCTAGGATGATTGTCCTGAAATGTTTTAGAAACATCCTTTCGAAAATATCTATCGACAAAAAGATTTTTCGTTCTCAAAATTAGATACTTATTACAGCTGAAAAATGGCTAACATTATTTTACAAAACTAGGTAGGACCTCAGACCGGCAGGACCCAGTATTAAATTTGCCAATTTTGTGTGATTTCTGAAAATGTCTCTATCACACACACAAACTAATTTCAAATTCCATAATATACCTGTAATGTATATAGATAAGGTACTTAATATTAATTTTGTATTGTAACAACAGCAAAATTTAATTTTTCATTCGACTTACAACTTGGAATAAAATAAAATATGTATTGATAAAAGTCTTCTCTCTTTTCAACTTTCAAACATCGTGAATATTCGTGAAGCCGAAGTGTATGGCGCAGGCGCGTGCTCAGGCATTTGTACTTGTACCGGTCAGGACAGGAGGGCACGCCACCACGTAGGGTCGGCGCCGCAGCCAGCGCAGACGGGCAGAATCAGTCGAACGGGTCGTTCTGTGCGCTTCGCTTGTGTTGTTGGGCGGAATTTTATTTCGTAATGGCGTCGTGCTGTGTGGAGGATTTGTCAATTTGTGGTTTTTCGCTACACCTAGTTGTGCCATTTTGTGTTCGAAAGGATCTCTGCGACCTACCAGTGCTTATTAGTTGGTGAGAAAGATTATTTGTTGAAAGATAACGTCGCATAACTATCAATTGTTTAGTTTATTTAATTTCAATATGGCGTCGGTTAGGAAATTTCTAACTTTTCTAATAAATAGCCCCTAAAAACCCGAACTTCATTCTTCATTAGGTAAGAGAAAATAACCAATAATTATTTTTTGTTTTCATAGTTGATTACATTCTAGGTGTGCAAGTTGAATTGTACTTCAAGAACTTTGGATTTTGGTTCTGTGGTTGTTTTGGTTAGTTAATGGTACCTTTATGAAATTGGAGCACCAAAAAAAAAAAGAAAACGCCGAACTCCCCCACTACAACATGCTGCCACTGCCAAACTATGGTTTTCGATGACATGACGGGGCATAAATACTACATTATTTAGGCAAAATTGTCCGTCGGTTATTATTAGTTGATAGATAATCAATATAAGTATGCATGTACCTTATTTTTTCAATAAAAAATGTTATTGGAAACTGATGTGCCTACTTAATTTTATAATTTTCAATTTTTGTTTTTTTTTTGGAAAAAGTTCTATCTGACTTCCAGAAAATAGAACGAAAATTGAAAATTATTGAATTAGGTAATTTTTAATCCATAATCCTAAAATTCTTTCACGTATTAAAGTCATACTAGAAACATATAGAGGATGTTTCTTACACCTGCCCCGGATGTATTAGGTACATCCCGCGTCATCTTAGAAACATCCCTGAGAGATGTTTATAGGACATCGCAAATGATGACACGGCTGTTGCCTGCAACATCCCAGGGATGTCCCCAGGAAAATAGGGACCTCCCAGGGACGTCTTCATTATCCCTGATGGATGTTTCTGGAATGTTTCTGCGATGTTACTGTGTTATTAGGGCATACAACTTATTCAAATACAGACATTATAAGGGATACCTGTCTTGAGACCCTTTTGGCAATGTCCTATTGTGGGAAGTTTACAAAAATATAAGAAAAAGATCCATTTTAGGCTGTTGTATGGATATGATCATTTCGGGCCAGGTAAACGAAATAGAGTATAATGAATTTTGGCCTGCATCACGAGCAGCATTATGGGTGAAAATTATTACCGAGTGTGAAACTTTCAAAAACAGTGAACAAATACGCCAATATTGCATTTGCAGCACATTGTTCTTCCTTGTCTGCTACAGTTTTCACTACCGCATCGTTTTTTTTACGTTCAGGAAAAGTGTTTGAATAATGATGCAGTCCATAATACCTTATATCATTATTGACTCAAAAATCACTTGCTACAGCCCGAAGCATATTCTTCTGTAGCGCAGGTGGTACTTTATATCTCCTCGGGTATGTCTGAAAATAAAAATAAAGTTAAAATTGTATGATTTCTCAAAAAATTGTTCTACTCTACCTGTGATACATTTCCCATTCGAATAAACAATTTCTGCACTAGCACAAAGTTGCCTAGTAGATAAGTCAGCTAAACCACGTTCCTCATCTGCTGAATCTTGGGCAGTGAGCTCTTTGCTTTCTGTGTGGGCTCAATATGTCGCTCAATATACAGGGTGTCCCACTAAGGTCGGCCAGGTACGATATTATGGAGACCATAGACCTCACGTAACTTGAAAACGAATGCAGATATTGAATTGCGGTTTGCGCCAAAATGTAGATATTTTTTTGCTCTTTATTAAGCACAGCAATACAAAAATAATATTATGCCATTTGGATTTTTCATGAAAATTAGGAAAAACTGGATCTTGAATAAACAGCGCCCTCTAGCAGACGCGGTGGGAACTATCGATCTCGAACGAAGCGGTGTTCTTAATAACAATGAAATTCTCTTCCAAATAAACCCAAATTGAATGAGTTTGAATGAGGGGTATGGAAGATACAGCAATTTCTAAAAAAAAATTTTCA